AACGTCGCCATCTCTAGTTTACATCTGAAACTATATCTGGAAGGAAATCTGGAAGCAATATCAGAACGTCACCATATCTGGTTTACATCTGAAACTATATCTGGAAGGAAATCTGGAAGCAGTATCAGAACGTCACCATCTCTGGGTCATATCTGAAACTATATCTGGAAGGAAATCTGGAAGCAGTATCAGAACGTCACCATCTCTGGGTCATATCTGAAACTATATCTGGAAGGAACTCTGGAAGCAGCATCAGAACGTCACCATATCTGGTTTACATCTGAAACTATATCTAGAAGGAACTCTGGAAGCAGCATCAGAACGTCGCCATATCTGGGTCATATCTGAAACTATATCTAGAAGGAACTCTGGAAGCAGCATCAGAACGTCGCCATATCTGGTTTACATCTGAAACTATATCTAGAAGGAAATCTGGAAGCAGTATCAGAACGTCGCCATATCTGGGTTATATCTGAAACTATATCTAGAAGGAAATCTGGAAGCAGTATCAGAACGTCGCCATATCTGGGTCATATCTGAAACTATATCTAGAAGGAACTCTGGAAGCAGCATCAGAACGTCGCCATATCTAGTTCATATCTGAAACTATATCTAGAAAGAATTGCGATAGTTGATAGTAATCTTTTTTGTATTGATCTTTTTCCTGAAAAGGCAAAACATAATTGTATGCAAAATCATGATGCATGAACTGTATGTCTTCAAAATTAATGAGATTCGTGTAGTATGATGCATATGCATGCTATAATGTATGAAGATGTGATGTTTATGAATGTATTTTTGTCTAAGAAAATAAATCCTTGACGGGTGCCGGGAAGTCACTCCTGGGCTGATGTTGAAGAATAGGTTTTGCTTCCGCCGGGGATGATAGTTGTAAGAATTCCGATAGGAGAAGATAACTCTATTGGGGAATAAACTTGGCAAATGGGTTACTCTGCGGGGAGACAAATACTCTAGTAATCTTGCTGGGGAGCAATACTCTGTGGGGAGAGAGACACTCTGTTGATTGTTGATAGTAACTTGCTGAGGATATCCTTGTTGTTGGAAGTGTTGATGGACTTCGCTGGGGTAAGAAGACTGTGTCGACGATCTTTCCGTGGCTTTTGGCTGAGGATAACCCAGTTATATCCTGTTAGGGAAATAACTCTTTGAATAAAGCCGGGAGACGCATTCGTGCTCTGCGGGGATAAGCTTCCAAAATCAACTGGGGATAAGCTTACTGCTTGGGGAGATGGATTCCAACTTTCCTGGGGAAGCTGGATTGGACTCTCCTGGGGAAGTATTGAACTGTATTGGTTATGTTATTCAACGGAACCTACCCTGATACCTTGGAGGATAGAACAATCAGATTGCTTAGACCACTCTTTATTGCCCCTGTTTCTATGGGGGAGGCACTTGTGGGGTGCTGGTAGTTGTTGATGGACAAACCTTCTTCTGGTAGACAGATGGCAGGACATAGTCGTACGCTTTAATCCCTAACTTTTTCCTGGACCGCCCTTTCGGGTTTTCAGTCCACCGGGATACCCATTTTTGCTCAAGCCGCCTTTTCAGGTTTTCGACTTGCCGAGTGTACAGATTTTTTCATTTCATCCCTTCATTTTGCCCGAACCCTTTTGGTTCACCGGGAAGCCCTAATTTTTGCCTAGGTATGTCAACCTAGCGGGTCTTTGATTTTGCGTAGTATCCTTTCGACTATGTCCATGTTCTCATAATGTAGGGAGTTGCCCCTGTTAGAAGTGTTTGATCGTGCAAGATTCGTTGCTGGAGTGCCCCAAGTGACTCAGGCAGAGATTTGCCCCAGGCTGGGCCTTGGGATTGATCTTGAGAGGGACGTGTCACGTTTGATTTGGAAGTGCATCATAGTCCTCAGTAAGTGGAACGGCATGTGAACCTGGATTGAAAAATATTATGAAGAATAATGCAGACCTGGGGCTCGAACCCAGGTCTTAGATGTCAACACAATCAGCACTTGCCAGCTGAACCATGAAACTCTTTTGTGAAATAAATAAACAGCAAATAATAAAATATGAAACTACGCGTTAGTGGGATAAAGCGCGCGAATTTCAAATCAACCAACCAAATCATGCCACGGACTCATCTTCTTCATGTGTTTTTTTATTTTTCTGAAACAAGAACATTAAGCCACGGTTTTGGATTTGTTCCCTTAGGCCCTTTTCAAGAAAATAGCGACTAGAGCTCAGGCATTCATAAATTGGGCGCGAGGGGTGTTTCTTCTTCGTCTCCATGCGCTGAATTGAATGGTCTGGGTCTGGAGGACCAATTTTTCTTTAACAAGAAACCCCCAATTTAGAACTCTGTAAACCCTAAAAGTCAAACATGGCATAATCGTATATAGCGCACAAAAATGCAATTGAATATGTTGGTTAGCATCAGAATATCATAATGAACATGAATCAATGAATAAAAAATGCAAAGGATGCGTGAATCATGATGCACGATTATGAATTTTCCTTGATGCAGTTCCGGTTCAATATACCAGTTCTTTAAGCTTTGAGGAATGATATGAATTAGAACACGTTCAGGAACCTTCAAGGAAGCTAATGGAATGGTTTTTATGCCTTGAATCGCCTTGTAAAGATGATTTCAGTTTTGACTTTTTTTGACAATTTTCCAAGTTTGTTCTTAGTTCTTCTGCGCAGCTTAGTCTCCCTTGTGATTAGGGTTGTGATTATGCTTATGTACTGAGTGCATTAGGTCAACAATATTGATCAAAATCTCTTGAATTAATGGTTTTTGAAGATTTGATTTTCAAGCTTTTTAACCAAATATTTTCCATGCTACTTTTGCACAAATCATATCCAATCACCCCAAATCTTTCCTAATTTGCATATGCACGAAATCTTGAGTCTAAAACATGTATAAAAAGATTGGTTAAGGTGAGTTAAATATTTTTCATATATTTAAATGATTTAAATGAATTAATATAAATAAAAATTCAAATAAATAAATAAAAAATGAGAAAATACTTCCCTTTGGGCCAAGTGGTCGTGCACATGTCATGGATGATGAATCATGGAAGAAAAATGGACCCATTAGCAATTTTAGGTCATTTGGATCAATGTTGACTTTTCAAAATATCCAAAAATTTCCCAACTTCCACAAGGCATAACTTGCTCAATTTTTAAGCTTTTCTCATGTTCTTGGACATTTTGGAAAGGTCTTTGAGTCCTATAACCAATGGCTTTGGTCCCATGTCATTTTGATTTACCAATTGCAAGTTATGGCCTTTGACTTAAAGTCCCTTTTTGTTGACTTTTGAAAATGACCTATAATGTTGAAATTGATAACTTTTTGTGAGAGCATTTCTTGGACTTGAAGTATGAAGATGAGTTGTAGGAAATGTCTTTCTCTTCAAAATGAGCTTTGGATGGAATTTTTATGATAATCCATGTGAAAGTTATGCCCTGGTCAATTTCAGTTGACTTTTTCAGCTGTCCAAATAAGGAAACTTTTGCATCTTGATGATTTCTGAGCCAAATTTTGAGAATCATGATCAAGTATTGATCAAATGATGTTTGTGGCTTCAAAATGATATGTTGACCAAAAATTTGAACTTTTGACTGCCAAATGACCATTTTGCCCCTACAGTTGATTGTAGTGCAATTTAGGGTTTTGACTGTGCAATTTTGTGCTGAATGCCTTGAAACTTGATATGAGGATGCTTGACCATATTTGTAGGTATACGAGACTTGATTGGGCCCTTGATAACTTCCTTTTCTTGATCAGACTCAAAACCCTAATCTTGACTGTATAGGAGACCTTTGCCCTGTGCAACCCTTGGGGAATTTTGCAGCTTGACTTGGCAATTTCTTGGAGAATATGGGAGGGCAAATTTTGGGGTACAACAGAGTGTTTTGGTCCAATTCTATGATTTTTTGTACCATTGATTTACTTTTCAGGACTACCAGTTGGTCCCCACCTTAGAAGAGTTCTCTGACCTGCTTGGTATCTCTATCCGGGAGCAGACCCCATTTACTGGTTGGGAGAAGATCCTTAGGCCGTAAGAGATTTCTTCAGCCCTTCATATGACAAAGGATGAGGTGATGGCTAATTGGGAGACTAGAAGTGGAGCAAAGGGCTTTCTGACTAAGTTCTTGGTTGGTAAGGCTAATCATTTCTGGGATAGTCTAGACTTCAAGGAATTCGAGGATATTCTGGCTCTTCTGATATATGGCTTGGTATTGTTTTCGAACTCTGACTCCTTTGTTGATGTGAGCAGTGGCGGAGCCAGAAAAATTATGAAGCCTGGGCAAGTTTTCATTGGCTTCATAATTTTCTACCAAGTTTTCATGGGCATAGTTCTTGCTCAAACCAAATTACTTAATGGAATTGGAGGTACAATGCATAGAATAGAAATCACACAAGCAAAAGGGAAATTTTTATCATCCAACAACAAGCATGAGAATCCTAGCCTTCACTGCTACAATGACAATCAGATACTTTGTTTGTCCAGAAACTCAATGATGAGCTTGTTCACTTTCTCTGGGAATTGTTCACCCAAAAAATGCCTTCCTTCTGGAATATATATGGTTTCCAAGTCCGGCACAAAATGTTTCACTGCCTCGCTTCAGATGTAGTCTTCCATGCCAGGAAACTTGAAGCAGTAGTCTTCCTCACCCATTACCAGCAGTGCAAGAACATTGACTTTTGGATCAATTAGGTCACTTTCCACTGTCAGAGACCTGTGTTGATCAAAATTCAGTTCCACTTAGACAAACGTAACGCAATCTAGAAGTTGAGTTGTGAGATTTTGACTACCTGTACGGAACCTGCAATGCAAATCTGAAGCCAGATTTTTCATATAAAGATGCGTAAACGTTCAAGTCCTCCTCAGAGAACCATGGCAGGAGAGGAGTAGATGGATTAAACAAGTCCATGATTTCTTGGTCATCACCTTCTACTGGAACCTCACTTTTAGAAAACAGAATATAGATGTTCCTTATAACCGACTTAACATCGAATCAGCCAAAATCGGCTTCTGCCCTCCCAGGCTCCTGAATTGTTTTACACTCAATAGTTCATCATTGTCATAAACTACTCCAAACAGAAATACAAGCAAATAAAAGCAATACATGTATATCTGGTCTAATGTTGATCAGATAAACATGTATTCGTTTTGCTTATATTTAAGTCCGGAAGAAATATAGAAGAAGATGAAAATGATAATGGAAGAGACTTTGCACCTGCCGCCTAGTAATGTAAAAGCCTTTTGGGAGAAGATCTTTTTTGACAGCAGAAGCACCAGGATTGATGAAAGGAATGCCTAAAGTTATGACAGAAGCTACTTTTTCCGGATAGACAACAGCTACAAGATATGCTATGATGGCACCAAAGTCCTTGCCAATAATGAAAGCCTGATAGAAGCAATTGAAATTGAACAAGCCAAGAAAACATGTTATTAGTTCTTGTTCTCCACCCTTTGTTTTCTTCTATGACATAAACGTTACATTCAACAAAATACAACAGATACTATACTAGGTAGAACATCTTGGTTCTTATCTTGCTGATTTCCAATGAATCTAAAAGATCCTTGACTTCATGAACAAGATCCATTGAAGTTGCTTTTTCTGGCTCTTATGGATGCTCCGAAAGTCCATAGCCTCTGAAATCATAGGCAATAGCACGGTATCCAGCATCTGCAACAGCAATCAATTGGTGTCTCCATGTATACCATATTTCTGGAAATCCATGTAAGAAAATCACTGTCTTTTCACCTGAACAAACAAAAACAGAAATATAGTTGAGGCAATTTATCGAACAGTTAGTGTGCAAGTTGCAAAACGGTGGTAACAACAACAATTTGATACTGATGCCATGGCCAATCTATGGACAAAAATATCCATTTACAAACATAGTATAATCAAGCAATTCATCAACCACTTGGCGGACAGAATACAATCAACAGAACTAAGCTATATGTAATGCTTACTATGGGTATAACTTTTGAAGAATAAGATATGAGGCTAATTATAGAGAAACAATGTCTATGATAAAATTAAATCTATCGGATAAGAATGAAACAAACCTCCTTCAAGTTCATTGGAAGCAGTGACAAGTGAAAGAGTTGCCGTCTTGTTCATCGTATTGAGGGAGAGAAGAGTTCCATGAAAGTGATTCGAGGCGGCCGAGCCTGGGCAGCTGCCCTAGCTGGCCGGACGCTGGCTCCGCCAGTGGATGTGAGTGCGGTGAAAATCTTCATTTCTCGTAATCCTGTACCCACTCTCTTGGGTGACATTCTTCATCAGCTTTATGCCCGTACTGCCCGAAAGCGGGGAGCCTTGATGTGTTGTGCTCCATTATTGGCGAGGTGGTTTATTTCGCACCTTCCCAAAATCAGTGCTGAAGAACAAAGAAGGCATGGGCTGGGCTTACAGGGTTATGTCTCTCTCCCATAATGACATTGTTGTACCCCAAAATTTTCCCTCCCATTTCATCAATATTTTCTCACCACAAGACCCTTGGAGCTCAAGATCAAGCTAGGGTTTGCTCTGCTCAAGACTTCTCCTTGCACTGTTGACCCAAATTAGGGTTTGAGTTTGCACAAAGATGTTTTGACCTAAAATGCCCAAGATGACTTTCATGCTTCATGTTGGACTCACAAGTTTATCCATACCAAGTTTCAAGCCTTGATTCCAATCTTTGCCCAGTCAATTGGACAGTTGACCTAGAAATCAGCTGTATTGGGGAAAAAGTCAACTGTGGTCAATTGACAGTCAAACCTCATGATTTTTGACCCACATCAACATTATGAACTCATATGGACCATTTGATCAAGTTTGAATCACAATTCCACAAGAAATTTGATCAGATCACCAAAAGGGCAAAATGGTCATTTTTAGGGTTTTGACTGCACAAAGGCAATTTTTGACTGTTTGACCTAACCAATGGCAAACCAAGATCACATATGGACTCAAGGATTCAATGGCATGGTCTTGACACATTCAACAAGTTCAAAAGATCCCAAATGCACAAGATTGACAGATGAATTTTCCAGTCAACTGATCCAAATTTGACTGTATATTGAAAAGTCAAACTTTGACTTTTTGGTCAAAATCAAGTGTCAAGATTCATTTTTCATCAATACATGCCAAATTGTGAAACTTGTTCATCAAGAAACCAAGAATTACAAATTAGGGTTTAGAATGAGAAAATTTCATAACTTAGAATTTTTCTAAGTTATGAAACTTCCTTATTTTTTCCTAACTTTGTCCCATTTTTTCATCAAGATACATTTGGATTAAAACAAAACTCAAAACATGAAAGTTATATTCCATTGCAAAATCTACAACTTTTATTCACAAAGTTTTCTCAAAAGAAGCTTGTAGCTCAAGTTATGATTTTTGGAACAAGGGTGCAAAACATTCTTAACTTAGAAATTTTTTGACCTATTTTAGGCAGGATTTTTGCCCAACTTCATGGCCACTTTTCACATGCTTCCACTTGGAATCTCAATTTGAATTACAAAGATGGATTGTAGTACACATTCCAAGCTTTCCAAATTATCCAAAAACTTCTCAAACACCCTTGTGGTTAGGGAGAATCGAATTGGCAAAGTTGGGCAAAAGTCACTTTTGTTCATGACCAAATGCATGTTCATAACATGGGCATTTTTGAAATCAGCTTGTACAGGCCTCTAATCCTTCTTACACTCAATAATTAAATGCATATCCTTTGTGTTAGAGTATTATTTTGTGCATTTGAACAATACACACAAAATCAATCCATATATGGAAAAAGCAAGTTATCCATTCTTGTAAAGAAGTGCTTTATGTCAAAAGCAAATCAAAGAAGTACCAAAGCAGATCTTTGGGCACAAGATTCATGAACAAAGTCCACTGATCAAGAGTGATTTATGCAGCATAGATTGAGGGGAGTAGGGGCCTGCATTGTCAAGACACATTTTCTTACTTATCAAATAAGAAACTTTGCAAAACTGATCACATCTCACATTCCTGCAAGCAAGGGCCAAAGCAAACTTTGTAAACATTTTTCACTTGATCCAACTGACCTGAAACATGAGCCTACCATATTCCAAACCTCATCATTCATCAAAACACCATTTTGCTGCACAAAACAGGGCATCCCTGCAGATTGAGTTGCACAACTCAGTTTGCTCGTGCGTTTTGGCCAAAGCTGGTTCATACACACTCCATAACATCCATACAAATTATCCCAAGCCCTAGCTACAGACTGTAACACCTCTAACCAAGTTCACCATTTTCATTTTTTCAGTTGTGCAGGTTGAGTTACATAGCTCGATTCAGTCAGTTTCAAAGCAAGCTAGAGGTTGGAGAAGCATCCCTGAACTTCAAGCAAGCTGTACAAGTCCTCACACTGCATTGAAAGTGCCTCCATTATTGTACACGATTCAAGTTGAACAGGTAAAAGTTTGAACTTCTATCTCTCTATACAAGCATATTTAGGCTTAGGTTTGTGAAGAAGTTATGTCCTACTCATGGCCCTGAAGCTACCCATATCATTACTTTTCATTTATGTTGTGTGTGCTGAGAGAATTTTGAACCTGAACATTGAAAAAACCTTAGGTCAGGAATTGGGGGAGAAGAAATTCTCTCTCATTTCTGAGAGTTAAAATGACTTTTTTATATATTTGGAATCGTGATAAGATGCTCTACACTTTTGATGTTGTAAGTTTTTTATAAAAATCAAGGAATCAGAAGTTAGCAGGTTGAGAAGGAAACGCGCGTTTTCTTTGTTTCAAAGTTGCTGGAGGTTGAAGACAACTCCTTTTGGGCTGGGCTTGGTTCATTTTTCTGTTTGCACCTCATTTTTCCACATACACCCCCTTGGCCCATTGTGTGTTATTTTTGTCATTTTTGATTTTTTCTTTTTGATTCTGATTTTATATTTTTATTCAAGCATGAAAAAATACTAAAAATATTTTTCTCACATTTTTTGTATTTTATTTGATATTTATTTGTTTCATTTAGTTACATATATAAATAAATATAATACTATTTGTTTAAAACATTAAAAATAATAATACAAAATATATTTTTTAGTTATTATTTTTTTATTTACATTTTGGAAAACATTTCTAAAAAATATACTTTTTTGTAAATAACAAATATTTTTTATTTTTGTATATATTTAATATATTTAATAAATAATATAAATACTTATCTTTCTTTTATTAAATATTTAGGATAAATATAAAAATAATACTTTTATTTTACTTTATTAATATTTAACCTCAAAAATACTTTTTTACAATATACTTCCTTTTTATTTATTTTTTTGTATATAATTAATAAATATTGTATATAATACATAATAAATACTTTTTATTTAGCAAATTAGGGTTTTGCCCTAAAAACACAAAATATCCAAAAATTGATTCTTTTATTTTTTGTTTATATTTCACATAAAAAAATACTTTCCCATACATATAAAAACCATTTTTGTGCATAAATACATTTTTGCATATTTATTTACTTAATTATTGTACAATTAATCTTTGTATATTCAATTTGGATGTAATAGCTTAGATTTTAATTTCTTGCTAAATATCCCCATTTGAACATTTGTACCCCCCATCCCATAATTGTGTTGTAATAATTTAGGATTTTATTTTTCGTACTTTAAAGCTTTCTAAATATGCCATGATAGACTTAGGGTTTTGTATGCAAATCAAAAATAACAAATAGTTTGACCTAATTCAAAGACAACAAAGCATGAAAATGGACAACACTAATCACACTTGCACCCCTAGGGTTACTCCACTTGTTGCCTTCAAAAATGGGCCATGTTGCATGTTGGGTGTTTTTGGCAAAACAAAACAATTCAAATGATCATAGTCCCTCGATGACGCTTTCGAAAGTTGCCTAAAAATGATCAAGTCCCTTAAAGGAAAAAGTTGCCAAAGACACTTGGCACCATTGCAATCATGGTCTAAACGATGACCCGCGCCCGTCCCGTTAACATCCTAACACAAGATTGTCCACCAAATACAATGGTGGAACAAAATTGTTAAAAGGGTTAAAATATAGGAGAGATCTTTGAGTAAATTTAGGGGTAGACAACTCTTAGTTACTTGATAAACTTGCAAAACACACTTGCCTACTTTTCAAAACCACACTCCACAACACTTTCAAAAACACTTTCAAAACAACTTTCAAAAACATTGAAAACTTTTTCAAAAGACAAGTACACCTTTGTATACATTCAAACATGAATCATTACAAAGGTTGCCACCATATTGGCCTCTTTTCAAAACCTTTTCAAACACACACACAAAGCACCATTTCAAACAATTGAAAGCACCATTTCAAATAATTGAAAATGCAAGGCAAGTGATCTAAGCAAGTAACTAAGAGCCCATGGATAACCATGGATAGAAAGGGTGCTAATACCTTCCCTTTCTATAATCTACTCCCCGAACCCAAGAAAACATCTCAAAAGTTTTTGCTGTGCTTTTTAACCTTTCCTTAGGATAAAATAAAAAGTCGGTGGCGACTCTTGCTCAACTGAAACATTTTCGAAAACAAACGCAAAACCTCAAGTCAGTTCTCCCACCGTATCACAGAACTGGCGAC